CTAATCCCTAACCCACAGGCCCCGGGGAATCGACCCCTCGATGCCGTTAGGGTTCCCGAAAGTGGACCCACCCGCGTGCCGCTGATTGGCTGTAGTCTGGTGCGGGTTGGGGGGTCCCTACCATTTAATTCAGACCCTCGATGCTTTGAGAACGGGTTATCTGATCATATCTAGATTCTACTATGTTATAGAATCGCTATTTATTTATTAGTTTCTCGCTCCGGAGCTGGATCCAGCAAGGTTTACAGGTATGGGTTAGCTTTAAAGATCATGGGTTGGATAATTATGATTTTTGATGGGGTACCGCCCGCTGCCCGCCCGTGTCACCTGCTGCTCGTATCCAGGGGTGTTCCAATGTCCAACCTGGCTTTAAATCTGCTTATAACAGATACCCATTTATTTCAGTACTTTATTTACAAGCATGGAGACCCAGATATTCCAGAAGATCCCCAGCTTACAGGTAATTATCTGCCGCCACTGCCGGCAAGGGGTCCGACCAGCCGAGATTGAGCAGCATTTAAAGAAGCAACACCAGCTCCCGCATGCAGACGCACATGTCATCAGCGAGGCAATCCAGCAATGGGATGGGATCCAGCAGGATTCCCAAGCAATTCAGATTCCATATGAACTTGACGAGCCGCTGCCCATCCTGCCATGCGAGCCCAATGGCTTGCAGTGCTGCCGGCTGGACCCACCATGCCAGTACCTGGTGTCCTCCATGAAGGCCATGCGGAATCATTGGCGGGATGTTCATGGCTGGTCCCAGTACTGCCACGGTGGCCGAGCAAGGCAGGCACAGCAAGCAGCAAGCCAAGCTGAGCTGCAACAGTCATTCCGGTGTGTCTCCTGGCAGCAGGTATTCCGTGGGGGGAAAGGCTCCCATTATATATATATCCGCTTCCCGGACGGGCGCGCCGAGCCCCCACCCCCCACCACGCAGATCCAGCAGGCTGTGGATCAGATGTACATGTCATGGCAAGAACAGCAGGAGAAGCAGCGGCGGGAGCGTGTGGTCCAGGCGGGCGAGATCAACGATGCCAACCCGTGGCTGCGGTTAACACGGTGGGCCGAGTACCTGCAGGGGGTGGACCCGGCCGACTTGATCAGTATTTCCAGCGTGGGCCATATCGACAAGAGTTTAACTGCAGTTGAAAGGGTTGATACTGAGCCAGTGGTCCAGGTGCTGCAGGCCACCATGGCCCAACTGGTCCAGAAGAGCCAGCAGACTGTGCAGCACTGCGGGCATGCCATCCGGATCGAGGCTGTGCGCACGGAGACCAGCCAGACGCCGCACCGCCCGCTGATGGCGTACATGAACCCGGAGCAGATCCAGAAGCATATCCAGCCATGGCAGCAGGTGCTGGGGTTTATTGCCCGCACGCAGACGGACTGGCCGTGGAAAGGCCAGAAGCCGGAGTACGGGATGACCGCGCGGCAGCGGCGCTACTGGCAGCGGCTGTGGGGGTTGGCCCAGCAGGCAGCGGACGAGCGGGCCAGCCCGGATCCCATGGAGATGGACGCAGAGGCGGAGGCGGCATCCACATGGGAGATGACGGTGATTGAGACCGCATGCTTGGAGTTTTGCATTGAGCTGCTCAATCAGCGGTACCGCACGCAGGAATACGAGAGCCCGCTGGTGTGTGCCATGGCGGTGCTGGGCCGGAGCGAGAAAGGCTGGCGGGATGCCGACAGTTACCCGCCGATTTTATCCCGGGTGATCAAGATCGCGCGGTTTTTACTGGTGCAGAAGGCGCTGTGGATGGACCCGGACGCGCTGGGGATCATTGCACTATGGCAGTCCCATACCGTGGCCCCCGGGCTGCTGGCCACGGCCGAGGAGGACTTGTATGACATTGATGAAGGATTCACCGAGGCCAGCCAGCCCATGATGCCGTCATCGCCCCCGTCATCGGTCCACAGCGGGGACGGTATCCCGATGGCCCGGGTCCCCCGCCCCGGCCGCAAGCCGCTCCAGGATTGTGTGGAATGGATGGTGCGGCGGTTCATGGTGCGCGGGACGCACGGGCCCATGCAGACGCTGCTGGACTGGCGCACGTACGGGCTGAAGATCCACTACAACACCACGGCGCCGGGGCATGTGACGTGGATGGGCCAGGAGCGGTTGCTGTACCAGCAGGTGCAGTTCACAATGGGCGAGTTCCGGGGGTTCGTACATGGGCTGGTGGGTGCCACCCGGACACTGCTGGGCGAGCTGCTGCAGGAGGCCGACTTAGGGTTAGGGTTACCGGCCATCCCATGGGACCGGCTGTTTGACGACCCGGCCGAGCAGACGCCCGGATGGAGCTTCCTGCGGGATCGCCGGACCCCGTGGCCGGTAGACGGTGCGCGGTGGATGGTGGAGCGGCTGCGGGGGGAGCCCGGGGTGCAGCGGCAGGTGATGACCCGGGGGGCGTTCCACCCGCGCAAGATCCGGCAGTACCTGCAGCGGGTGGCCCGATTTTTGGAGAAGCTGGCCGTGGCCGTCCATTTGACCGGGGGGGCCCCCGCGCGGGCGCCCGAGTTGCTGAGCACCCAGCATGTCAACACCGAGACCAACCAGCAGCGGAATATATATATCGAGGATGGGTTGGTGGTGTTGGTCACGGCATACCACAAGGGGTTTTACGCGAGCAACGATACCAAGGTGATCCATCGATATTTGCCGCGGGAGGTCGGCGGGCTGGTGGTATATTATTTATGGTTGGTCCGGCCGTTTGTCCAGCAACTGGCGTGGCAGCTGGCGCGGGCAGGTGAGGGTTTAACTGCAGTTAATGACCCCCAGGCGGACCAGCCCGGCCATTGCTTTACTGCAGTTAACCATTCCCACACCGACCATGGCTTTACTACAGTTAAACCTCCCCGCCCAGCCATGGATGACACCCAGCCAGACGACCCAGGGTTCGGGTTCCCCCCGGTGGAACGACGTGGGCTCATGCTCGAGACCATTAGCAGCCCATATATCTGGGGTTGCGACGTGGGCAGTGGCCGGGAATGGAGCAGTGAGCGGCTGCGGGAGGTGCTCAAGCGGGAGACACGCACCGGGCTGGGTACGGCCATGACTGTGGCTCATTACCGGGATATTGCCATTGGGATGAGCCGGCGGTTTTTACGGCCATCCAGTGCATTCCCCAACAACATCCAGCAGGAGCAGGCGGCGGAGCAGGAACTGGCCGCCAGCGGGGAGGACCCGGATGACTAGGTCGGTACCATTGCTGATGAGCAGGCCGGGCACAGTGCCCATGTGGCGGGGATGGTGTATGGGCGGGAGAGCAACGAGTTTGCGGGTAGTACCATGCTGCGGCGGCTGAAGTTCCGGGCATCCAGCACGGACTGGCACGAGTTTTTAGGGTTCCCCACCGGGGGGCCCCCGGTACTGGGCAAGCGGGCCAACCCATGGGAGGAGCAGGCTGCAGCCCACCAGGTCGAGCGGCGGCGGCAGCTCCAGGCCACGCCCATGGAGCCCGCATTGCAGCGGATGACTGGACGGGCCGAGATACAGTTCCGCGGGGTGCAGCAGCCCGCCATCCAGGCCATCCAGGACAGCGCCAGCCCCGTGGTTGCCATCATGCCCACTGGTGGGGGGAAGAGTATGCTGTTTATGCTCCCCGCGTTCGTGGCCCCGGGAGGGTGTACCATTGTGGTGGTCCCATTGATTTCACTGCGGGCCGATTTAATGCAGCGGTGCCAGCAGCTTGGGATCCGGTGTGTATCATGGGAAAGCCGGCGGCCCCCGGACGAAGCCGCCATTGTACTGGTCACGCCCGAATCCAGCGAGGACCCGGATTTCCACACGTTTTTGAACCGGCAGCGGTGGATGCGGCGGTTGGACCGGATTGTGGTGGACGAATGCCATATCATATTAAATTCCCAGAAGGATTTCCGGCCGGCCATGGCCCGATTAGGGCGGTTGGTCAGTGCCCGCACGCAGATGGTGTTTTTAACGGCCACGCTGCCCCCCATCATGGAAGATATATTTTTGCAGCGGATCAAGCAACCCGCCAGCGCGGTTGGCATGTACCGGGCCCGGACCAGCCGGGGGAATGTGGCATACCGTGTATGGCGGCCAATTTTACCCCGCCAGACCCCGCGGGAGCCCCATCAGTGGTTAGTGATGCCGGCAGTACTGCAGTACATCCAGGGTCGGATCCAGCAAGCGCGGGGGGCCGGGTGATTGTGTACGGGCAGACCAAGAGCCAGGTGCAGGCGATCAGCCGGGAATTGGGATGTGAGCCATACCACAGTGAGGTGGTGGACCGGGCCGGGGTGATGCAGCGGTTCCAGGACGGGCTGCACCGGGTAATTGCGGCCACCAGCGCGTTAGGGATGGGCATTGATATTCCCGATATCCGGTGCGTGATCCATATTGGGCGGCCGCGGACGTTGCTGGAGTACGGGCAGGAAAGTGGACGGGCTGGACGGGATGGACAGGCCAGCGAGGCGGTCATTATTCATCCCGATGGGTGGGAGACGCCCGATCCATGGATCCATGGCGTGGCCGACGCGGATTTCCAGCTGGTGCAGGCGTACATGGGCCATGGGTGTCGAAGATATATATTGGATGGGTACCTGGATGGGACGGTGGATGGATACACGCGGGAGCGGTGCCGGGATCAGGATCTGGATGAACTGGCATGTGACGGGTGTGAACCCGATTGGGAGGCGCAGGAGGCACCCGTCAGTATCGCCAGCAGCCCGCAACACCCAGGGTCAGGGTCAGGGTTCCGCCCGAGCCCCGATACCGTGACCAGACCAGTCAGGGGGGGTTCAGAGTTAGGGTTCAGAGGGACGGGGAGGAGGGGTCCAGAGTTAGGGTTATCCAATGATGCGGTTCATTATTCAAGGGCCCCAATTGATGCCGGATTAGGGTTTGTACCCCATTATGCAACATCCAGTTCCGAAGGGGGGGATTCCCCGGTCCATCCGCGGGCCATGTCCATTGACCGCGGCGAGTCCATTGTATCCCAGGTACCCCAAGCCCGGGTGGTTGCCACCAGCCCCGCGTACACCGCGCGCGAGCGGCAGTATAAGCAGGCGGCGGTCCGACAACAGGCCGAGGCCATGCAGGCCGGGATTGACGAGGAATTCATGGAGCAGGAGGCGCGGCGATGGCTCGACCAGTGTTATATTTGCACGATTGGTGGGCGGGATGGGGACCATAGATTGGAGCAATGCCCGCATGCCGAGAGCTGTGCCGCGCAGGAGTGGCTGGGACAGGTACAGCGGCGGGTGGATTATATCCGATTTCAGTGTTGTTATCAATGTGGGATGCCGCAGGCGATATGCCATGGGTGGCAGGACCGGGAGGTGTGTACATGGCGGGGGGTATTGATCCCGATGATTGCGGGGATGTTGTACGGGCCATGTGGTGAGGTAGTGCGGCCGGCATGGGAGCAGTGGTTGCAGGGGCGAAGATTAGAAGGGCGGGTGATATATGCCGGGAAGATATTCCAGCAGGAGGTCATGGCTGGGGTGGTCAACCCGCGAGATTATCGATCCATCGCGGCGTTTTTCGGGCAGGGGACCATTGATGGGCGGGGAGTCGAGGTGCAGGCTGTATTTTGTTGGTTACGACGGGCATGTCATGATATTGAAGCTGGATTGATATCGAAATAGGAACCGGAGGCGATATATATATATAGATATATAACCCACTGAATATATATTACCAAGCTACAACATTCCATGGTCGGGGTAGAGATATATATATATATATATTACAAGGTTATAACAGATATTAGCGGATAAATTTTAAAGACAGGAGTTAATTAGTAGATTATAGAGTATAAAGAGAGGATTTTAATTAGGTTTATAAGTTAAAGTAATAATTATAAAGTTTATAGGAATAAAAGTTATCAAGTTTAGATTAGAGGAGAAGAAAGAGGTATAGAAAGAGAATAATATAAATTAGAGAGTAGAGGAGATAGAAGAAATATATAGAGTAATAATAGAAAAGAGTTTAAACCGGGCAGGATGTTATAGTTTTAAGAAGAGATTATAATATAGATTAAAAGATTAGAGTAGGGATTATAATAAGGGTTTATTAAAGGATAATTTAAATTATAGAGAATAGATAGATAAAGAGTACGAAGTTAAGAATAAAAGGAGTTATAGAGTAGTAATTATAATTATAAAGAATTATCAATTAAACAGTTAGAGGTTAATAAAGTAAAGAGTTAGAAAAGAGGATCAGATTTATAAGACAGTAGTAAAATAGAATTAATATTAAGATTAATAGTAATAATGAATAAGGATTAGTATCAGTATTGATTAGATTTTTAAGATCAGAGTTTCAAAAGATTATAAAATTTTAGAAATTAAGGGTCCGGGTTTTAGAAATGAAGGGTGAGGGTTTTATAAGAGTATGGGATAGGATATTCAGGGTTCAATAGATAGGATAAAAACGAGCAGGTTTTAGAATAGTATTTAGGTAAATTTTCCAAGAGTTAAAGATAATTAAGAAGAATATTAAAAATATTAGAGAGATATTAGAATTAAAGAGGTAGAGAGTAAGGGTTATTAAAGTTAAGGATTCAAGATTTTTAGAATTATATATAAGTATTTTAGTATAAGAGCTGGCAGGTAAATTATAGGATAAGAAATCATAAATTTTAGAGTAAGGGTTTTAAAGTTAAGGGTTTTATCAGGAGAGTCAGGGTTTAGAAATTCAGGATAGATTTTCAAGACAGGAAAGTGATTAAGGGGTATAAGAGAAGATTATATATTCAGAGAATAAAAATCAGAGAAATATAAGAGTAGGGATTTCAAGAGTTATAGAGGAGAGATTTTAAGGATTTATTAAGTTTCAGGGTAAGGGTTTTAAAGTTAAGGGATCAGATAAAAGAGTAAGGGTTTTAAAGTTAAGGGTTTAGAAATTTAGAATAGATTTTAAAGCTAGGAAAGAGGTTAAGGAGTATAAGAGAAGATTATAGAGTTAGAGAATCAGAATTCAAGAAATATAAGAGTAAGGATTTCAAAAGTTTAGAGTAAGGGTTTGGATGTTGAGGGTTTAGATAGAAGAGTAAGGGTTCGGTAGGAAGGGTGAGGGTTTAGAATAGAAGAATAGACGAGTACATAAATACCGCTACAAGATATTAATGGGTGAGTTATTGGGTTGGAGGGCGCGCAGCGCCCGATAACCGCTGCGTGTTAGGAAAAGGGTATTTAGTAACCCGAGCGCAGCGAGGCGGGTTAGGGTCCGGGTTAGGGTCCGGGTTAGGGTCCGGGTTAGGGTTA